ATGAGTCATGACCTATTTGTGGCTGGAGCACCTGTGAGAAAATTACCCAGCACGCTTCAGGGAGTCCCTCCCGTGGACAGAATCTTCCTGCAAGTGGGCGTGTCTATCTTCTGTGTCCGCCTGTGTCATTCGCTCCCAATTCGTCACGTGACCAAATGCTATTATTTCTTAGCGCGCGCATACATTCCGTTGCTTTCTCTAGCACCTGAGTGTAGGAAGTCTGCTTTGTATTTTTTCTGTATTGGTCCCCAACACACAACCTATAGTCTCTAAAATAATGTAAATCATTTTTAAATAGAAAGGGAATTGGATTCTTTGCCTTATATCACTAAGGCCTGATTTCCACATATTCTCTAGTTAATAGAAAGTAATATGGAAGCCTTTTCCACACCTGAGAGTGAGCAGAACAACAGATGATTTGAGTAACAGAAACGCCCCAGCTGGGGAGAACAGAAGCCAGAAGAGAAAGGAGCCATTCCACAGAGTTTTGAGATGGAAGGTCAGTCACGGAAGAGGTGAGCAGCGCTCCAGGATGAGACCAGCAACAACTCAAGGAGACACATTTCCTTTATATTCACTACGACCGGGTTTTTAGACAAGTTATCCTGCTTTTATTCCTTTTTTTTTTTTTTTTTTTTTTTTTGAGACAGGGTTTTGCTGTGCAGTTTAGGCTGACCTTGAGCTCACTTTGTAGCCCAGGCTGCCCTTGAACTCGCAACGATCCTCCTGCCTCAGCCTCCCAAGTGTTGGGATTACAGCCACAGGCATGTGTCACCAAGACCGGCTCAAAATGTGTGTTTCTTTCCTTTTTTGGTACCGGGAATTGAACTCACGACCTCAGGCTTACCAGGCAAGCACTCATGCCGCTAAGCTATATCCCCAGCTCCTTTTTCTTTCTGAGACAGGGTTTCTCAATGCAGTTCAGGCCAGCTTCAAGCTCACTTTGTAGCCCAGGCTGGTCTCAAACTCACATAGGTCCTCCTGCCTCAGCCTCCCAAGTGCTGGGATTACAGGTATGCACCACCATGACCAGCTACTCCTTTTTAATTTCTCAGGGAGGGGCTCAGCAGTCAGTCCTGGGGTTCTGGAATCAGTATGACTGTAGCAGGAAAACAAATCACGGCAATGGTGGGCTTCAAGCTGAATAAGCCAGCGATTAATCATTTCATGCGGCCTGGGCTCCTGACACACAGATCTGCCAGAATTCTCTCTGAAGCCAGTAACTCTAAAAAAAACAAAATTTCCTGCTGCGTGGGCAGTGGTTTCAATTTCCATGAGGATCACTGGACTTGAGCTAAATCCTTTCAGGCACGGGGAGAGGGCTCATCTCAGTGATGTCTGGGCCACAGAACGATTCAGATAATTCCTTGGCAATTGTTTTATTACTATGGTCTTCACGGAGGAAGTGTACCTGGGATGGGGCATGAGTCTGTGGCCAGCCCATCACAGGCTGGCTCACTGGAACACCAAAGGGCTACATGATTCCAGGACAGGCACTTGGGAATCCAGTGGTCGGTTTATGTGTCCAGACGTGTTCCACTGGAAAGGCAGTACTCGAAACCCTCTGAGTGGGAAAGCGGTCAGGATTCACCCTTATGCGGCGGGCCGGTGCTCCTGCCCCTAGCTCCGTGTAGCGTCCAGCAGGAGATGCTGAATCTTTTGATTCCTGTGGCCCAGCTGCGCCCCGAAACTCTTGGGGTGATGCCCCCCTAGAGACAGGGCCTTGCTTGCGGCTCCTCTAGAAGGAATGCGGGCTGAAGTGCCTCCCTTTGCACACAAGCCAGGCCTGCATGCAGCATTCTGTGCTCTGGACATTTGCGCTGACTCCAAATGCAACTTGAGAATGGCGTAAGAGAAACCCATTCTCAAGGGCCCGTGTTTCTCCTGCGAGTGCAGTTCCAATCTATAACTCTGAAACATGCTTCCTCTCCTGTGTCACTCACTGACACAGCGATTCTTCACTGACGCGAGTTTGGAACTCACAGCGATCCTCCTGCCTCAGCCTCCTGGGTGCTTGGATTACAGGTGTGTGCTACTGCACTTGGCCTGGTGATTTTCATTTTAAAACAGAGCTACTGTCAGTGTCCCTAAGGGCCCAAATCAGGAGGGAAAAAGTCCTGGGACTGAGGAAGAAAGGACTGGAGGGGGTCACTTTCCACACAGCACCTTGGATGAAGCAACTGCTGCCCAAGTGGTCACGTTAACCTGGGTCTCGTTGTGTGGAGGAGCAGCAATGCTAGCCTCTCTGCTGAGCAGAATGGCCTGACCAGGCCACTCCATCTGTCGAGGGCCCCTCTCGCTGGATCAGTGTCCAGCGTGAGGAAAGGGGACACATATTGGCCTTGGCAGGCTCTGATACGGCTCTGAGTCCACTCTCTGTTCTCTCCAGCCTTGGCAACAAGGGGAAATAAAACTCACAGGCAGCTAGCACCAGCCTCATCCTCTGGGTTGATGCCCATTTGTCAAAAATTGGGCCAACTTACATTCGTATTAGCGAACCCTCAACATAGCTCCATTCACCGCCTGACACACAAAATTCGCAGCAGCTGGTGGAGGAATGCAGCTCCGAGGAGCCGCGCAGCCAGCACACACACAATGGAGGAGCGCACCTTGCGCTGCCTGGCAGCTCTCATTCTGTTCCAAACCCGTCTCCAGTTCTGGAAAGGATGGCTCCCTGGTCGCACTAATGTTTTTGATTGGCAGAGTCACATTTTTTCCCCCTCATCTCTACATCTGACGTAGATTTTTCTTTAAAAAATTAAATCTATAAATAGTGTTGTTGAAAAAAATGGTTAACACACAAAGGGTTGTTCAAGTAAAAAAGATGTATTTTCCTCAAGAAAATAAAATCAGGCCCGATGTATTAAATTCTGGAGGATACACACCAGCACACACAAAGGTTGATTTTGTTTTTGCTATTGATGTCTCCAGGAGCAGGGAATAGGGGCAATGTTCTCTTCAATGGCAGCCTCAAAAGGTTCACAACGTATAACTGCAATTCTAGCTACTCAGGAGGCTGAGGCAGGAGGATCATCAATTCAAGGCTAGTCTGGGTAATTTAGTGAGACTCTGTCTCAAAAATTTAAAAAAAAAATTTTTTTAAATAAGGGTTGGGAGGCTACAGCTATACCACCCTGAATGTGCCCGATCTCACCTACAAAGGGTTGGGGATGTAGCTCAGTGGTAGAACACTTGCCTAGGATGGGTGTGACCCTACGTTTAATTCCTGGCAACACACACACACACACACACATTCAGAATTTACCCACAACTTGTCTCTTAGTAAGAGACTGCAGAATGCTCATCATGATTTTATATTTTTTGAAGGTGCTATATTCTCTTCCCTGTATCCTTTCTCTGGAATTCCACCCCATTTTACACTGAAAAGGGTCACTTTTATGCTGAAATCAGGCCTGCTGAGCTTCACCAAGGATTTAAAAGATGCATCTTGAACTCTCTGTACACTACACGGGTCTCTACAGGGACTCTATCAGCTTCCAGCCAAGACCCTTCCATTCCAGGGACCTAATCTCCTCACCCTGACCCCACAGGGCAGCCTGCCAGGTTATCACACGGGGTCAGACCCGAGGGGTGGGCCACGCAGGCAGGGCTGTCCTCTATGATAGGAAATATCAAGCGATCGTTCTTCGAACTGGCACGATGTTAAGTAATTGCTCACCTCATCTGATCCCTGGAGCCCAGAGAAGTTCAATGTTAAACCGCTCCTGCTGAACGGTACACAGACACACAACTGCTCAGGCTTCTCCCCTAGCTGGACCTGCTGTTCACCTATCTTCACCTCTATCTAGTTGTTTTTCCTCTGCTGTAAAATGTTGGCAACAAGTAGAAGAATCCCGAAAGGGCTTTGGAGACACACGGACCAGAGTAAAGCCCGCTACTTGGCAGTGATGGGACTCTAAGAGGGTTAACTGGGTCTCCTTGAGCCGGTTAAAAAAATGGGGATTGATGTGAAGCGTAAACATCACAGCTAGGAGCAGCGGTGCACACCTTTAATCACAGCACTCGGGGAGGCTGAAGCAGGAAGATGCCAAGTTCCAGCCCAGCCCGGGCAATTTAGGGACACCCAACCTCAAAATAAAAAAAAAAAGGGGTGGGGTTGTAGCTCAGTGTGAAGGTATTGGGTTCAATCTCCAGTATGGAGAGAAAAAAAATGCCACTTGTGCATACAGACCAGCTCACATAAAAATGCTGAGTATTAACTGTCATCTTTACTTGGGGCAAATGGGTATCACTCTGAGGTAGTCTTGGCGGTGAATGGAGGACACAATTGATATTTACAAACATGCCCAGGTGTCTGGCACTGTGTTTCCCACTTACGGGCTATAGTTTAGCCTGTAATCTTGGTACTCCAGAGGCTGAGGCAGGAGGACTG